ARKKRAMMWTKRARSCSRWTKSCSRMAAAAAAAACAATTGATTGAACATATCATAAAAATGAGCAATTTCCTTTTTACTGATTGTCAGATTGAACATATCATAAAAATGAGCAATTTCCTTTTTACTGATTGTCAGAGAAAACCGGGCAGGGTGATTTACACCAAACTTTTTATTAGGTATCGAATATAATTAAGAATKGCCAAATATGAGCCTCAACGGACTTATACTTTGTGAGATGAAAACCTCCCTCACTTTTGAGTCCAAAAAATCGATTTTTAAATCGCTTACACTGGAAAAAATCGCGCGCTTTAAAGGCGCCCGATTTTTTCCAGTGTTAATCATTTAAAAATGCGAAAATTACGACAAATTTTAAGGACTCACAACCTATGATACGCAAAATTAAACAATTTTTTACTGTTTCCCCAGTTTTTKTCATTTATCTGTCTAGATATCCGAGTTAAAATAAATTACAGTTTTACAAGTACTATAAAGTTATTTCTCTTGGCAGTTTTGAAGATGTGATTTTTTCAGTATACCATAGTTTATGCAGCGTCTCTAAACTGAAAGTGTAGTTTTAGCGCTTTTTCAATTAATTCAAAAATGAGGCCGATTTTTTTTCCCTTCTTAATTGAGTTGTTTCATCGCTATATGGACAACAAGTTTCAGATGGATTGATACATTTAAACCTGGTCAAAAAAAATTACAAAGTTTACTTGAAGACGTGTTGAAGATATTATGTTTTTCGACTGCGCAGGGGAAAATGTTTTAATATATTCAGGCGGATGTAACGCATTCCTTGAATGTAATATCTAGGGCTTTTATACGCAAATGAACATGTCTTTTGTCTTTATGATATCTTTGGGTTCTAATTGACCTCAGTTTTTATCTCCTGTATCGCAGAAGTACGTTGATGCTTCTTAGTAGCATTTTTTTAAATGTTCGAAAGCGAATCAAACATTTTGCATTCTTTTCTTTCATGTCATGACAGAATGCGTCGAATCCGCCTAACAAAAAATCAAAGAATTATCTCAGAAGTAACAAATTACTTTGAATCAATAACAAAATAAAAAAAATCGGTGCAACGACTTGTTTATTTGCGTATTCCAACAAAAGCGCTACATCTTACATTCAAGGAATGCGTTACATCCGCATGAATATATTAAAACATCTTCTCGTGCGCTGTCGACGATGTAGCCAGAAACATCTTGAACGCGTCTTGAAGCAAACTTTGTAATTTTTTTGACCAGGTTAAAATGTATCAATCCAATTTAAACTTTGCAACAATTTTGCCCATATAGCAATAAAACAACTCAGTTAAGAAAAAAAAAACATTCGACCTCATTTTTGAATTATTTGGAAAAACGCTAAAACTACACTTTCTCAGAGTCGCGGTGTAATAAAAAAATCACATCTTCAAAACTGCCAAGAGAAATAACTTTATACTTGTACAGGATTATCTTATAAGCCAAGCAAGTCTTTTGCTGTAAAACTGAGCTTCAGACATTGGCATTTCATCATGAATATTAGCCAATTGTGAGCGTGTTCGTAAAGCACAAAAAACGCAACACATACACGTTTTAATGTTTTTCTCAAAATCGGCTAGAACAATTTCCTTGATTTTGAAATATATTATTAGCAATATCCTACAGTTAAACGCAGTACTTTTGGTTTTTCTAGGTGCCATCGAATTGTCCGGAGAACAGCAGTTTCTTTGAATTCTTTCTTTCTAACATAAAACTGCTATTTTTGCAGTAAATAAAAAAGCAATTCATGCTTGAAAATGTTCCATTTAAGTACAACATTGCCTGTTAATTTTACGAAAATCGAGTTAGATTAAGATGGTCAGRCGGCCGTTTATAAATGTTAGGTGCGCGGGAGTGCCAACCACTATGAAACACCTTAAATGACTTTATAAATTGATGAAACTTGTGTTCTAAAATAAGCATGATGCTATTTTTGAACCGGATAATAAAGGAGAGTTAGCCTGTTTTTGTCATTGAATGACTGACTATCGATATTCCCGGTATTTAAGAGTCAGAGGAACAAGCTAAAAAGAAATACCTAAGATATCCTTGTACAGTTTCCGAAAAACGTTAAACGGACTTTAAAAAAGTCTACTATAAGTCGTACTATTCGCTCCTCGATTTTTCGGTCTGTCGCTAAAACTAGCGACTTATGTCCTTTATCAGACTTGACTGTACAAACGGAGCTAAAGCTTGCAAGGTGTGGAAAGAATTTAGCAGTCCGGAATAGTTCCAAATCAGGAAACCTTCTATCATCGTTTTGTGTTTACCGATTCCGAGCAATGAGTTTAGGAATTGAAGATTTTGATATGCTTCGAAGACGTTTACGAGAAATTAAAACATACTACATGAAAGAGAATGAGTTGAAGTATTCTCAATGGACGTGTCTAATGGCTAATGGTGAGTAATTTATTCTGTTATGTCGATATTTTGAAAGGGTAATTTGAACCCTGGTTCCCTCAACGTATACTTTCATTTCTTGACCGACCTTAAAAAAATATCAGCGTGTCTGTCGAGATATTTCTGCATCGATTTATTAGTCGGACTAGCCGAAGGCGGTCCGACTTTAAATTTACCTTTTAGCCAATCTATCTATCTATCTATCTATCTATCTATGTGTCATGTCGCGTTTGGACCACCGGAAGTTAAGAATTTAATAATTAACTATTGGGTTGGCTGTGTTATTACACGACCGGAAGCTCAAAGGTATTGATGTACGAATATCGTTAGTAAATGCTATATGCTACTCGCGCTTTTATATGACAAAAAAACTATTCGTTTACAAATGTGGTATCTGTGATCTCATCGGAATGCATCAGTCTAGGTATCATAAGTTCGCGCATGTGCAGATCGCTTGGTGCTTCGAGTAGTATGCTTTCGAAACTAAATCAATGGCCTTTTTAGCGTTAGGCAGTGTTGTGTGGGCAAAGATTTCAAATTAGAACAAGAAGAAACATTTTTTATCAATAAAAAAGGCGAGTTTAATGATTTTATAGGTATCATTTACTTTGTAAAGTATTTTCTTGGCCTGAGAGGTCAACGTTATCACTTAGCGTCACTCAGACAAGGCTTGTCTAGTTGTCTACATAGCACGTTTGATTTTATCAGTGAAAGCAAGGACTCTTTTAAAACGTTCATTGTTATATTAATTACATGACCTTTTAGGTCAAGTTTATTTTAGTCTCAAGAGACGTCTCAAGAGAGTTTGGATATTTTGAACTAGACGCTCTTATTAGGCCGTGAGTTCGGCTATTTTGGAGAAAAATTAAGAAATATATATTTTAATCTAATTTTTATATTTTATGTAATATCCTCCTGTTTTTCCCAAGTTTCTTTTGCATTCATAATATAATCATATGATTAAACAGAATATAACATCATAATCTTTTCACTCGTGTCTATCAATTTTTCAAAAATAGCTAGTCCGACTTCACGCCCCAGGGGCGTCTAGTTTATTTATGATCTATGCTGGCCGCGAGGTTGTGCGATCAGCCGGCAGGCGCTCGCCCCTGCTTGTCTAGAATCGAAGTTAAAATAATAAGATTTTAACGAAAAAATCTGTATTCAAATATCGTTTACTTAAAATTCTATTTGTAAAGTAAATCTAATTTAATTCGTTGTATTGTTCAGTCACAAAGGAAATATGAGGAAGACTCGCCGATCCGACTATAATTCGTTTCGAAAATCAGTTTACGTATGTTTTATTTATCCAMGTTCGTCTACTATTCAAAAAATGTATTCGCTCGCCACCGTACTATTACATTGTAATATTTGATATATAGTTCATTGTGTGGTTAGAGATATCGATAATACTATTTAGAGCCGCTACGGAAACTGGCAAACACGTAGCGTCAATAAAGACAATGGTTGYGTTCAGTTGGTCGGGATTCAATTGAGCCAATTTTCAGTTGTTTAATTCAACGTTACGGAGTAAGTATTCTTAAAAGAATTGTTGGAAAAAGTAATTAATAATAAAAAAAGRAAGAAAGAAAAAAATTATGTTATCCCTTGGGAATCGAACCACTTGGTCAGGACGACTATGTTTTAACCACTGAGCTACGATGGCAATTCCGATATAGTCGTGGCTAAGACTGGGATTTATTTCGCCGTCATGCTTATCCACAACTGAAGTTAGGATAATAGGATTTTAACGAAAAAAAATTCATAAATCGTTTACTTAAAATTTTAATTGTTAAGTAATTATAATTTGATTCATCGTACATGTATCGTTTCGTATCAATCTTCGAGTTATGTTGCCATTGGCGGCTTGTTGGATAGTGTATGTGCTCTTCATGCATCCAACAGTGTTTAAAAATTATGCACTAGTCAATTGAAACCCCCGCCCCCGACCCCGGGGCTAGCGGGGAACTGAACGGGGACGTAACGCGTTTTTAACGTGCTTTTAACAGCAAGATTGCCCCGGGGGGTCGGGATTTTGATAAATTGTTTTCGAAGCGGGACAAAGAGCGGGGATTTTAACGCGCGCCTGAACATGTATGAGGCTGGCAACTTTCTTTGAATGAAATGTTTTAAAAGACACTTATTACACATGTTTTTCTCCGTCCAGTAGGCCTCATGTAGTGCGCAAATGAGTACACAGGATTGTGCAAAAATTATTCTGTGTATCACAGAAAATTTGATTGAAAGGTCTTTGTTTTGTTATTTACTTCTACCAAAACAGCGCGGCAACAGTAGCGGGGATTTTAACAATGAATGTGCCCCCGACTACCGGGGGAAATGTCTTATTTTAACACCACTCAAACGTTAAATTCCCCGGTATTCCCCGGGTGTCGGGGGGCRGGGGTTTCAATTGACTAGTGCATTACTACTCCTGAATAGTGCAGAGAGCATCTATGTTTCATGACTTTCTACTCTAAAATAACAAGACCTTACTTTATTAAAGTTTATGACAATTGAATTTGTTATGTATTCAGATACATGTAACATTCACATGTGTTCGGTTGAAATCCAACTTAATAATTTATTCAACACAGGTATCATTGGGCAGGTAAAAGAAATTGTAGAGTCATTTTCATCTGTCTGTGAGATAGGGATTGTACTATTTAAAAATGCTATTACCCCCTATTAGATCCCAATAGTTTAACATATGGCATATGACAAACTAATTAGGCAAACACAGTTTTGATTTTACCTTTTGGTAGCCTACTACACCCTAATAGTCACTATTTTAATCTGACTAGTAGTAATTGTTTCACAGACGGATGAAAATGACTCTATTATAATAATCAAATAAAAATATATAGACAAGAAGAAAACAAATATTAAATTCCATGCTATAAGTTGTATTGCACTGCATGGTTTTAGTTACAATTCAACCCCATTAAACACAATTTTGAAGTCTGGAGTAAATGTAAGAAAAATGTTTACCACTTAAAGGCCGTGTCACACTGGCGTTTTTTCGTGCAACTTGTGTCGCGCAAAAAAATGTTGTAATTCTTGTGTGAAGTTTTTATTCATCAATTAATGCACAGCGAAATCTTTCATGAAGACGTCGGCCATTGATTGGCTAATCTAATAATGTTTGCCAGTATTTAAAAAATGTAAATAAAAAAGGTTTCCTGATTTGGAACTATTCTGGACTGTTTAGTTGAGACAGTTATGTGGCAACTGTCTGGATCGAAATTCAAACAAATTGAATCCTACATTACAGATCAACATTAACTTCGTAGTCCACGCTTTTTCAAAGTAAAGGAAAGTTAGATAGAAAATCAGTTTTTCTCTTCCGCTAGTTGTGTTTAACGTGTATTTTCTGATTTTGTGTCTTTGTTGTGTAAGAACAGTGAATTCGCTATTGCATGATATCACGTATGACGTATGACTGCGATGTCGTAGAGGACTTGCCGAGTGCTACTGCTTGTGTGCGGGATTCATRACTTTGTAAACTTTGCCAATTATCAATTTTTTGTCTTACAATTGCGTTGGTTCCCATTAGTTTGGGTTTGAACCCTTTGATTTATCCATGGCATTTATGTTTTAAAGTGTAATCTATACAAAAACCATAATTACCCCTTCTTCATATCCACCAAAAAYGTACATCCTTTTTCCAATTACACATGCTGTATGGCCATCTCTTGCTGCTGGTGGCTGGCCATGAGTCTGGGGTTTGGACCATGTTAATGTCTCTGTGAAAATATAACAATATCTAATTGTTAAGATATAATGTTGAATTTCATCCATTTTGTATATAGGTTAAAAATCTAGCGTGATCTCTTTCATTGAAATTAAATGGAATGTAGATGAGAGAACCAATCACRTGGTTTAAGTTGTTTACAGACTTATAGGAGAATTTGTTGTTGTTTCAAGGGAAAATGTCTTGAAATAAGAAATAAAAATATCAGATTTAAATTTATAGCAAATCTGTATTTTTATCCAAAGGCATATACACGGAATATGTGTTTATATGTTATAGCTGTTCTTAAAACTCTGTGATCAATGGTTGACAAGTTGATACCTTAGCGGTAAAGTGAACAGTCTTRGATGCAGAACAGTGATGATTCAGACCTTGGAATGGCCAAGAAAATACAATATTCATAATTTCCTTTTTTCTTTGTACAAAATACCTAACTATGTTAAATTTTTACACATTCGCTGCTTACATACTTCATATGATCTTCCACAATCAACTTATATCTGTGTCGTGGAAATGATTTACTGGCTCCAAATATAGCTGGCTCATAATTGTAGCCAAAACTGAAGCAAACAAATCACAGTTTAAATCACTACTGAAATCGTTCTGGTAATAAACAATAATAGATGTGCGTAATCCTTTGGATGCTATCTCAAAAATTATCAGCTTGTGCAAGCCAACCAAGTAAATATTAYATAGGCTCATTAGGAATGCCATGAATAGCAGACAAAGGCAATTTGAAAARCTTTTGTTTCAGAAAGCCGTTCGAGAATTGGAGATAACAAACGGTGCTTCTTGTATTCAAAATTATGAAAACTGAAAACCTTGGTGGAGATGCACTAAAATCAATATATTTCTGTTATATGTATTTCCTTCGCTTTTTCTCCCTCCCAAATAATTAATGAGTATGAGAAGTTGTAGCGCCTCGGACTGGAACTAATTGCGCGGACTTGAAATCCCGTTGAGTCCTCATTCTCGGACTTTAAACATTATAAATAAAATATTATCTCAATATAGCATTGAGTAGTAGTGTTCTAGCCACCAAATACATCCATCAAAAGTGAAATATTATAAAGTGTCAAATGAAATAATCGAGTTTCAAACAACAACAAAATAACAATTTAATGTAACTTAATTAGACTCAATTGACCCTCCTTCAAAAGTCACACATTTGCTGAACAGTTTGCAGGTAAATACATTTGTTCAGTATAGATAGATAGATATGTGTAGCTGACTTTCCAGATTTTGCAGACCAATAATCTGAATTGCATCTGGATTACATTGTTAGGGACTTGGTCAGACTGCTATTGAAGGCGCTTTAAGCAGCCGTGCAGTTTACAAACATGAGTAAGTTAGATTTGTTAGTGTATAGTGCCCTCAAGGTTATGCGGCCGAAGTACAGACACTGAGGATGGTCGTACCTGCTTCCTCAGTGGTTCTTTAACGTCCACTACAGGGTTAGAGTAGAGTAGACAGGACCTCCGATTCAACGTCGTCATCCGAGAGGACGTGAAGATCTTACCATTTGCAGATGGAGAAACAAAGGCAGCAACTTCTACTCAATTATTTTAAGACCCTGAGTATTGGCCCGGCCAGGGTTTGAACCAATGACCTTCCGCATTGTAGTCCGATGCTCAACCAACTAAGCCAATCGGTATGCGGTATAGATTCATGCCAACTGCACAAAAGATTCTTGTGTGTGACTCATTCTTGACTCAAGGTTGCCAATATGTGGCTTGTATTTGACTAAGTTTCAATACTCTGGCTAAAAGTTGGCTGGTGTCACAGTACAACTCTTTATGCCATAATTTCTATTTCTATATTTATACTCGGAGTTCCAAAGGAATCCCAAGTTTAAATTTCGCCTGTCTTCTTCTTTGTCGTATTTTGGTCACAAAATTCCCTTGGCCTAATGCACTGGGTACATATGTTAAACCTATTAAATGACCTATCATGACTATCACAACTTCTATGTGCTATTTTATGGTGGCGGGTRTGTTATTAAACGCTCGATAAAGGACACGGATTCAACTTCAAATACGCTCAAATCACTTACAAATCCACAAACCATTCGCAGTATAGCCACACTAAAAGATGTCAAGCATTTTTTGAAAGGGTATTTGGAGAGATATCGCGAATTTATTGTGAAACTTCGGATCATACTGCCTATCAAACAAAGCTACCTACAATCGCTGACAAAATCCTTGGACCATTCCAGCAAATTTCCTCATTTTAAGCAACACCCGCAGAGAATGACCCCCTAATATTGCTGAAAGGGGGCTAAGGGGGAAAACTGTGAAAAAATAAAGCAGAAAAATAATTGTACAGTCCAAGGTATTTTGGCAAAGATTGTATCTTATTGAAWGCGAACTCAATACTAACTGGTTATACAGGCTCTAAAACTACAAAGGACTTATCTAAGGAAGGCGAACAGTGAGTTCTACTGATGAAAAACTGACCATTGGAAGTATTTTACATTATAAAGTGGAGAAGATGAACTGAAGACTGTGTGTTTACAGCTGGTCATATGACTATCAATTAAGTGAGACTGGCTTGCTGATGATCAATTCTTTCATAATATTAATGCTGAGTACATTGCTTTTTTTATCATTTTTTATTCCAGGAAGTATTTTTTAGTCTTACTAACTCTTTGACTTCTACACTCAAAAACTGTTCTCACATCATKTAGTGATTGTGATAATAGTGATCTTATAAACTATTTGTTTGACTGTTCAAGCTTACACATGCTTATGCAGAAGCCACAATAAATATGCTGATAATATTGTTTATGTGAATTATACACTTCTAATATACACTTCTAATATATTGTAMTCATGAGAGCACAGTGCAGTAGCATACCAACACAATTGCTAAGTAGACAAAAGAAGTATCCACAGATTTAATTCACAGATCTTATAAGCTGTAAAACTTTGAAAAGCTCAAAACTCAGCCTTGTCCCAYATAAAGTTGTTTACTAGCAAGACTAGCAAACTTATCAAAAAAACGACAAAAGTATATACAAATGTTATGGATATACTGAAATTAAACTAAATGTATAAATGATTCACTAGCAGACATCAAGCCGAGTTCATGCAGCTATGCGTCTAGTTAATTGCCCTCCTTGTATACAACCTTGATTCATACAATGTAACTAATGTAACTAATCCTACCTAATGTATTGTTGATTTATATATAAATGCATACCTGTATCAAAGCAGTAAAGTGTATTACATGCACCAAATTTGTCATTTCGTCCTCCAAATATAAAAGCTGTTTCATAGATTAGTGATGCACTGTGTCCATACCTCATGTATGGTATACAGCTATAAGTACTGTCTGTCATTTGAACTGTCTTAAGTTTGGTCCATCTACTTGTCACTATGAAAAAACATGAGCAATAATTATCATTCTTTGGTAAATACAATTGTACGCATTGCTGAACTAGAACATATCCTACAACAAAAAACAGGTCTACATGAAGTTTTTATGTATGCTTTGGATTAAGATAACAGATAATTCCTCTTAGGGTTTTTTTTCATTCTCATTTTCTTTTCTTTTCCTCTCTCTCTCTCTCTCTCTCTCTCTCTCTCTCTCTCTCTTTTGATTGGTCATGGTTGGACCATAAATTATTTCTTAAATGCATTTAATGCATTCAATCCTATCTCTTACTCTTATCTCTATCTTTCATTAAAAAACTGCAAAAAAAAGAAAAAAAGAAAAAAACTATATTTTGGTGACAACTTGCAAAAGGTTAGTGAAAAATTAATTGAGCTCAATAATATACTAGCAATGCTTTTGTTTTAAAAATCTATGTTTTAAAATTAAAACTAAGTAGAGTAAATTAGGCCAAACAACGCTAAGTGCGGAAGCATTTATGGTTTACCATAATACAAAAACGTAGGTTTGTGTGAATAAATTATGAACATCTCAAAACGCATTGTGTGCAATTATACATGCAAATTATTCGTTCTACACAAAACAAAACTACATGTCTTAGCGTTAGGGGCAAAAATGTTGAAATGTATAAAATGTTTATTTTTTCAGGTGGGAAAACCCGCGTGTGTTCAAAGTCGATGGRATCGAATTTGACGTAAATTAGATTTAGTACAAGCTCAAGCTGTAAAACAAAAACAACAATATAATTTATTCTGTAAAGCGTCAACTGATGACAAAAATATTCGAGAGTTGATTTAATATTGTAACATCATGTTACCATCATTTTATCTTTTCAAGAACACAAACACCTAAACAAATAATTTTTTCAACGTTGTTCACACGTGTGAGAYACTTGAAGAGCTAAAGCTTGCACAATAACACATAAAAATTTTCGATCTTTAAGAAAAACATAAAACGTAAATTTAAAATTTGTCTCGTAAGCCTTACGCGTTTGAGCAAAAATTGGGCAGCAAAGAAGAAATCTCACCTACAGTAAAATTTGCTCACCTGCGTCAAAGACATGAATGTCTATTTTGTCTATTTTGTCGTAGTCTTCTCCTGTACAATAACCTCCAAAACTGAAGATGAATCTTTCGCGAACGGACACAGCCGCATGGTTGACTCGTCGTGGGCCTCCCTCTACTTGCTGTATCCAGTGCAGGGCCATTATAAAATAATAAGTGTCATTCACAATRTCATGATGTGTAKAAGAGGACTGTTAAAGCATCAAAATACCTCGCAGAGTTTAAAACAAAACAAAAGAACTTTTCACAAGACTCTTCGTCTTTACTTGTTTGATCAGCGCCCACAGTGTGGACAGCGGCTACAATTTGATAAATTTCCGAATCAATGCCGAATCTAATCCGATATGTCACTCGGGATGGACGGTAAACCAAACCACTACCATGACAGAATACGATGCCATTAGACTTGCCACAACTCGCGTCTCTTTGAACTCTCAAAATAACAACAATAATAGTAAACAGAATAACAGGGCAATAAATGAGTCACTTAAAGTGAGTCTGTCACGGTACCACTGGAAAAAATCGCCCGCTTTAAAGACCTTTAAAGGTTGTAAGTATGATGTAAGTGTCCAAAATTCTGTAAATTTAATGGAAATCATTTACATCAAATTTACAGAATTTTGGACACTTACATCATATTTACATCAAATTTTAAAGCACGCGATTTTTTCCAGTGTACGCGGATGTTCCAGTAACTGTCGCAATAAGAATCGTCTATTTAGCTTTGGCGCGAAAGTGGTCGAGTCACGGGCTCATTCTAATGCCAAATTTCGATTCCAGAATAATACTTTCCGTTATTTGTATTTCATTTTTGGCAAATCCACCAAATTCCGGCACATTTATCAATTGGCTTGCTGATGGAGAGTCTTGCCAGTACTCCTGAGAGAGTGGTAAGTTTTATCTTGTGAACTGAATTCTTTGGGAGCCAGCTATTGATGAAGCGACTGGAAACTATTTGCTGAATTCTTTTATAAATATAACGTTATATTTATAAGTAATACCATGGAACGAGGGAAATTAGTGATTAAATTTCCCCGAAACCGAGTGAAAATTTGTGGAAGTTAGTATTAGAACGATTTCACATAATTTATGCTAATACACATTACACGATGAGAATAGCTTGTATCAAATTGTTGTCCATGTGTGCGAAAAAGCCAAGAACGCTGTCACTGCAATGTTGGCTAAAACTGTGTAAGAAATGAAAAAAAAAAACGTTGTATTTTTGAGAGCAAAATTACTCTGACTTGACTAAAAAACACGATCGCGAATTTAATTTGTTATGATTTAAATGTTATTTAAAACAAAAAGCGTTCATCAAAATCCTTGTTGTTCTCCACGTGTAAAATCGTGTAATGTGTATTAGCATAAATTGATTCTCATTAGCATTTTTATCCGGTTATGTGAAATCGAATTTCCCTCATGAATAACATGAGGGAAATTCGGGTTTGTGAACCCTTCGGAAGACAATGGAATCCGAGGTGATCATGATATTATTTTAATAATAGTCAATCGTTGAGGGAACTATCCTTTTAGGTACAGAGAGTTGCGTTGCTCTCGCCCCCCACGAACGTTATCAGTTGTAAAGTAAAAACGCCTCATGTCAGAATTTAGAATAACTTACTTATTCTACTACTAGAGACAATTATCATGATCATTATTACGTTTACAAATATCGAGGATAATRCTCCGCGAGAGACCAACGATCCAAGCCCATCTAGTGAACGCAGTGCTGATTTTATGAGGAAAAGGAGCATCAGAATTTAGTGCAGGGGAACATATAGCTCTACTTATAAAAAAAGTTCAAAAGATTAATGTATTTCTTAACGCTATAAGGCAGAGAAAAAAAAACAGTTCTTAATAGATATGGTTGAAATTCAAATAGGTCGCTAATCAACAATTTTCGCTGTATTATCAATATATATTATCAGACTATATTCTGACATATCAGCACATATATTCATACATTCAAAGGCCTTGTATATCCACTTTTTAGAGATTTTACTAATATTTCTATGATTTTCGATAAAATATGTGTTAGATAAAATATTCGCAGTAGTATTATAAATAACCTTGATTTGGTCTATTAATATATARTTATTCCTTTATGATTGTAATTATACTTTTTTAACATCTTATTAGGTGTATCGTTAACGTTTGTATCCTATGTATCAATTTGATATTTTGAGGATTAAAGTTATTTATTCGCAGTAGATCAGGCTACAAAGGGRACTCGCTGCAGAGTTTTCCATCTTGCAATCAAATTATATGAAACATTCGCATCACAAAGGAAACGGTGCTCATTTTTTCCTCGATGTTTTAAAGTATGTACAGGTCAATAAATCTCTATCATTGTAAACAATTCTGGCTATATAAAAGGTACAAAAATTAAAGTTCAGCAGCTCGTGAATATATCTATTCTGTACGTTTTCTTTCGTATTCCATGTTCTTGTTGCCTTTTCCGCGGTGTTTTCACGAATTATACAGTTCAATCTATCAGGCCTATCAGTAGAAAAAAATCTATATGTCAGGTGATATGAGCCTTCTGTACAATTATTTCAAATTCTCCCATCGCTCCATCTTCTTACAGTTAGAGTAATCGGTTTGCTAGAAAATTCAGACTCTTATATATAAATATATTCTATCAATCTAATTATGCTACATTCTCAAAAGCGAAGAAAAGAAAATTGCAGTGGCAAAATCAAAAACAGACACGATCATCCTTGTTCTATAACTTTAGTTAACAATAGTGTTTTTTTAGTCTTTTGAAATCCTACTGAATTCATGACTTGAGGTAAATCCTTTTTCTTCTCCTCCGATGTTAAATGAAAACGACARCATCGAACTAGACATCTGTGAGGAAGCAGTTTGGACGGTCGAAGCAGCTCGCGTTTCGTCGCTTTTCTCAGTAGTGGCTGTTGTTGTTTCAAGCGAATCAACTGTACATCTGCCATGAATCCATTTCGATGTTTGTTCAGTGACTCCGACGCCGTCAGTAGCAAATTCACTCGGGTGAAACTTCACTCTTTTTTTTCGATTTTTCCGTCCTCGTAGTATCATACTTATTCTTGGATTACGTAAAGTGTATATGATCGGATCCAAGGAAAAAGAGCAAAAGGCTAAAGAGATTGATATGATTGCCAAAATTTCAGCGTAGGATTGTTTTGAGGTTCTCTTCAAAGCATTAACGATTGCTATATAGCAGTAAATAGCCCAACAGCAGCTGAACAAGACGAACATTAGCAGCATAGTTCTTGCAGTTCGTATTTCGGCTGTATAACGTATAGTTTTAGGGTGTCCAGCTCCGACAGGTCTGACTTGATTATAACCTTGCCATAGGGGTCCAACCATTCGACAATATAACACAGATACGATTATAAAAGGTATTAGGAAACACAGCACAATAAGAAAAACATTCACGAACTGCATCCACTTGTTCGTTGGAGTGTTCAAAAAAGGAAGACATCTATTTAGCCGATATATGATCAATGTCTGACTTGTGCGGACAGGAAACCGCGAAATACAGCGTGGTTGGTTGTTTAAGGCGACCCATAAGACTGCCGAAACCAGAGCTACCATCCATGTTCCCAATATTGATTTTTTCGCGGTTCTAGCTGTCCAAATCTTAATAGAGCTTCTCCTAGCAACAATAACATCGTAGCGTTCTAGTGCGATCAGTATCAGAGCAAACGTTGATCCTGTGGCAAAGAAAATGAAGGCAAATCCGAAACAAGAGCACAGAGCGTTAGGTATTTGTCTGTGTGTTAATATATTACTCAGATACATTGGTACACAGAAAATAGAGAACAACAAATGTCCAACCGCCATGTTGACTATGTTAGCGTTGGTTACAGTGTGTAATTGATAGTGGCGAGCAACTATGAGACATATCGCACTGTTTCCTATAACACATAGAGCGAGAGAAATGATCAAACTCACAAATAAAGGGGTTGTTGCGCGGGAAGGAAGGTCTTCCAAACAGAAATTCCATTCAGGAGAATCAGAAACAGTTGAATTCGACATATCATTTTTTTACCATGCTCACTGAGTAAAAAATTGTTGAAGCTTGGACAGGTTTTAGGTAGTTCTTCACCCGCATCAGTCACCAGCCAAAGTCATTTATTTCGACCGTCGACGAACGGAAACTGCGATTTCAAACGTGCACGACTTTTTTCAAAAGCCTTTGCCTCAATGAAAGTAAAGAAATGTTTGTTGAATGTCCAATGTTGAAGATCAGCAAGAATTGAGTTTGTTGAAAGCCGTTCTCTAAGCGATCTCTCGCTAATTTAACGTGAAAAATGACTAAATACAGCTTATTATTCATTGAGTATTCAGAAGACTGAATTTGAATATGATCGCATATGGCCAATAGTCACACAATCTTGTCATCAAACATATTCAAATTGGCAGTTGTGGTCTCAAGACAAACATTTGAACATATCAAGAAAAACATTTAAAAAAATATCGACTGAATGAAAAATGACATCATAATGAACACACATAAAGTGGAAAGAAATATATGAGAGGCAAAGYTTCTTTGAAATTAAGAGAAATACAAGAAAACTATATCGAAGACTTCAACAGACTTTAATGTGCTGCAGGTGATAAAGTGAAGTCATGCATTAAATCTATGAAACAAGATTTGAAAGTGAAAATTGAAAGTGTGACAGTCAAATAGCAACGAAAGGAAACAATTCAGTTAGAGTGCACTCAAAGGTGTATATATATTAGTGTAATATGTAGTCACGTTTTTTACTTCACTCTATCATCTTGACAGTTGAAACAAAGCTGAAAGTATATATAACCAATGTATTGTGTTATTCCTCAAATGTTGTATGGAAGTGAGACTTGGACTCTGTACCGTCACCGCATCAAGCTTCTTAGAACCGTCCAACAGCGCCACCTCAGATCCATTTTGAAGATCAAATGGAACGACTTTATCACAAAAGATGAAGTGTTGGCTCGTTCTAATTCTACGGACATTGAGACCATTCTTATCTGGAACCGATTACGTTGGCTAGGTCATGTTACACGCATGCCATCTGGGCGACCAGTAAAATCATTCCTAAACAGCGAATTGGCAGAAGGCTCAAGAAAAGTCGGCCGTCCCTTTTTAGTCGGACTAGCCGAAGGCGGTCCGACTTTAAATTTACCTTTTAGCCTATCAATCTATCTATCTATGTATTATGTCGCGTTTGGACCACCGAAAGTTAAGAATTTAATAAGTAACTATTGGGTTGGCTGTGTTATTACATTTGTAGACCGGAAGCTCAAGCGTATTGATGTACGAATATCGTTAGTAAATGTTATATGCTACTTGGCTTTTATATGACAAAAAAACTATTCGTTTACAAATGTGGTATCTGTGATCTCGTCGGAAT